CCTCTCTATCCCACTCCCCCACCGCCTACCTCTCCTGTTTTCGGGAACATGAGTTCTTTGCAATATACGTGGAGATAAAATGTTGAGATAACCACTTGCTACAGTAGTTAATACCACAGGGAAATGCTGAGAGTAGAGTTGTTAAATATGTGACCATGTATCTCATGTGACTACATGAGAGAGCACTCTATTTACCAGGATTACCGCCCTTTGCCTCCACTACCACCGCCCAAATGGGATGGAGGCCTGTCAGGACCAAGTTGGGAAATGGAAAAAATGCAAAACTAACAGAGGAAAGAACCCATTAGAGACTTTGATGTAAACTATTGGTACCATCTCCTCTAGTGAATATTCAGAGTGTGTAAAAATATGTCCTTTGAATAGTAATAATATTTTTCTTTTTTTTCTAACCTGATTTGCTGTGACTAAGAGTAAAATGGAAAAGTCAGAACTTCATGCACTGTGTGCCTGTTACTGGTGAACCATAGCTTTCCCATTAACACAACTCCAAATTCAGCTGCCAGATGTCCCAGGGACATTGGGCAGATTCTACTCTGCCCAAAAAAATTTTGATTTTTCCAGGATGATTTTATGTGATACCAAGAAAATTAACTATCTAAGGTATGGTGCAGTAAAGGCTGACATTAAAAAAACTAAAAGTGTGGTGCTAATTGCAAAGCTTTTATGTGAATGGTCATATGCATGCAACTCTGATTTATGGAATAACTAATTTGACCCCACTTGACAACATGACTGACAACTGACTAGTAGTAATTATCATCATGGCAATAATCATGAGTCTGTGGCTGTTGTTCTTGAGAAAACTACATAGAAGAAAAAAACTAAATAATCACTTGCAATTAACTGTTTTGAGAAACTCACCCCAGGTCCCTAATTAAAAAGTAACAGATGCATCCCATCTGTAATTATAGCAGCACTGACTCATTGCCCTTTGGTGTATGGAAAGTCATAACTAATGTCTCAGACAGACATGGTCCTAGAATTAATTCACAGCAAAACATCTGAGTTACATTAATCACATTTAATAGTTTCAGCTATTTGAAGCAGTTGCTTCAGATAAGGCCTCTTGTTTGATGCAAACTAAAATACTGTACTTCAATTGGAACTGCAGTAGCTGCAAATGTGTGAAAAAAGTAGTGCTTTGAACAACAGTCTACACCTCCCATTGAGTTTTACTTTTATTAGGCTTTGAAGAAGCCCCTAAAGAAATCAAGTGTTTTAGACACAGTGTTAGCCCTGAGCTAACAAGTGTTGCTGTCTGGAGGACCCTAAATAAAGTGTTGATAAAACCGAACCTTGGGAAAACAGCTGCTCCTAAACACCAGGGGCTGGGCTGAAGCTAAATCGAATGAAATCCTGTACAAACTTCACCTCGGGGTGGGTAAAGAGATGCAAACAACAGTGAATACAGTGGAGTACTTAATCTCACAAAGAATCACCTCATCTTCAAAATAAAGCTGGGTTGAAAACAACACATATGGTGCTTATCAAAATACACAATAATATTTTGAACGGCAAAGAAAACTCAGTAAAAACAACATCATTTTGTTGCTAGTTGTTTAACGCGGTGAAACACTGAGTAGAAATCAGCTATGTGAACTGAATGCTAATAGGGCATCAATACAGCCAGCAAGGCTGTCATCTGCATTTTTCACCTTAAGTTGCATTCAGACAGGAGAAGAGAGACTGTCTTGCATTATCCCTCACAACCGTGGTAACGAGTGAGTTTTATGAACTAGTAAATGAGGTAGTTGGGTGCAAGATTTCTCTGGGGCTGAGCTATTTATTTCGCCTGTATATCTAATGACTCTGTAGCCCTTTGAAGAAGATGGAAGTTTTGACGGAGTGGCAGTGTTTGTGAGCACACAAGCAGTACACTTTCCCCACAGGAGCCTCCTGCCTGGCTGGCTTCTTAGCGGGCTGCTTGAGTGGCTGCTGAGCTGGATTTTTTCATGCAGGCATAAAAATAAATAAATAAAAAGAGTGACTACACTCATGTTGCATCACAGGGCACAGCATCTGGTAAACAACATGTCAATGCTAACACGCAAGCACACATGTAAGAATAAGAACTTTTCCAGCTCGGAGGACCATCCGCATCGCCACAGAGGGACAAATAAAATGATTTGTTGAGAAGGGACGGAATAATTTTTTCAGGTCAGCTGTCTTTTAAGACTCTTCCAAAGAAAGGCAGGTTGAAATGGCATTGTGACAGGTTTTAGAAAGGCACAGAAATGTGTTTGTAGCAAATACACAACCTTCAACAAAGGGCAAGCAGATAGTGGTACCCTGAGCTCGAAATAAGTACAGGGCAGCTGCAGCCTATCTCGATCCCTTGCCACTCTTAGCTATTGTTTGGCTGTGTTGTAGAAAAGCCCTCATATCTCAGCTCCTTAATAAATACAGCACAGACCTTTCAGGCCATGCTTAAGGTTGCAAGATCACGCTGACTGCGTCGTGACAGTGCAGGAAAGTCAGCGCTAATCAGGAATAAAATTCAGAAAAGTTGGCGCTGGATTTCTTTCTAACATACTTAACAAAAGACTGACAGGCTGACAACAAATTAGAATCCATCTGGACGTGTCCTTCACTGTGTCCTTAGTATGTATGCAGATTCAAATCCACTTAATTCTAGTCCTGACTCAATCATCTCTGAGAGACTACAAGAATCACACATTTTCAGTCATGAGTAAAATGTAACTAACGGCATCCGCATAACAAGGACGAAAAATATAGAGCGATGGCAGTGAGTTACAAGGGTTTGCAAATGAGTACATTTTGGAAAGCAACGATGAATGTGTTGCAATTCCTATGTGTCTGTCATAAGGGTTTGTCAATGAAAACAATGGAAATTTATGATGATTGTCAAGCTGGTCGGCCGAGCTGGGAGCTTTTCTTTTAAATAAAGTTCAATACAGATTGCAGAGTACTTTGGATTACTTCCACATTGTTTTCCATTATTAGTCTATGTATCAATGACTGAATGTGTCATTCACACAATAGACCCAGGAATCACTCTGATGAGTGCGTGTGATTTTGAATACAGGAAACAACTGAAAACGTGACCTTATTGTAAGATTAATCACATTGTTTTCCTTGACCTTTTATTTTCATAAGAATCATGATAGAGTGAAAACCAGTAAACAAGATAAAAATAAAACTGAATTGACAGTTCCATGGAACATTTTGTTTTCACTTTGCTGTCTTGCAGCTAATCCTCTTAAAATTAAAATAGCACCAGAAACAGCAGTTTTTATCATCTCTGTTTTCCCACAGTCTCAAATGTGTGAAAAGGATATAAATAACAATAGAGAATAGGGAAAAATAATCCTTTTATGTAATATTGATTTGAGGAATGTACATGATTTCTGATTAACCCTAACCCTTTTTAATATGCACCACTGTGCATGTACTTTAACTGCGTAATTCCATTTGTCCATCACCAGCTAACACTGCCATTGTTTTTTTTCAATTTAGAGGACAATCATCTCACCTTTCTTAAATTGCACCTCACTTTCATTAAATGTAGTGTTTTATATGCATATCTTATAAAATGATATTATGCAACACACAATATGTTGGCAACACACTGTTTTAAAATTGATAGCACCATCATACCGAGACTTCTGGGGACACGCTATAGAGGTCTTAAGTAAGCAATACCATGACACTTATTTTTTAAATATTTATGCTGTGCACTGTGTACAGCGTAGTAACACCAGGGTATTAAAGAATGAGTTACAGTCATAACAAACTGAGCTGTATATGTTATGGTTTAGATATAACCATATCACTGCCTTGGCTACGATCCTTAATCCATACAGCTACCACACATTAAATGTGACAACACAGCAACAACCACATGGTCACTAAATTAAAAGTGTGATTGTACCTATTGTCCTTATTGGAAAATACTCTCCACTGTCGTCATTACTCCTCAGTACTGGGTAAAGGGAAATATTTGTCATGTGTAACAAAATGTGATCAAAATCTGAAATTCTGTAGATGATAAAACAGGCAAAAGATGGAGGCAGAAAAACAAGACCAAATTCAACTACAGGCACCCACTGGAGACTGAGAGAGGGAGAGGGAGAAGTGGAGAGAAGAGGGAGAGAAACAGAACACGAGAAAGAGAGAGAAAGAACACAGATGGGCAGATGGAGAGGGGAGAGGTCCTGGACTGGCCAGGTCTGGGGCAGGTGGGGAGATGAGGGGGGTAAAGGTGGGATGGAAAAGGACATCGTGCGAAGGGAGGAGCGAGCTTAGAGGATGGGGTCAGCCTGTTAGAGCTGGAAAAGGTTAGGGAACAGAAAGTAAAGAAATAATAGAGAAAGGTGCAGACAAGCAGCAAATGGATCAGAGGCAGGAGGAGGAGGAGGATGAAATGAGATAAAAGGAGAGCAGACACAAAACACAAACCATCATAAAAAAGGAAACAGAGAAAGACAGCTAGAGATTGGTTAGAGATGGAGTTCACATTTAGAAGTAGAGGGGAAAAGACTCAGGCTGAGCGAGATGGCCACAGAAGGATAGTTCGTATTTACATAGCTCCCCACTGCACCCAGCTCTGCTTCAATTCAGATAACTTGGTACATCTATTAGTTCAACTAATTCCCATCGCCATCTGCCATGCAATTTCAGATTCACCTCTGGAGTCACAGAAAAGGTTCAGGACTTTGGGGGGAGAGATGCTGATTTGGAAAATACGAGATTAATTTGCTTAATTGAGGTGCCTAATGTTTCCATAACTCAACACTGGAAGTCCTGCAGGAAATCAGGTGGAGTAAGTGTGATCACACATCCCTCTCTTAAGAATTAATGGTGTCTACTTCACCTCTTTAATGGATTTTTTTCCTAAATGAGGAGTTTATGAGGAGCTGTCCTGGTCATTTTCTCAAACCTAAATTCAAATGTTTTTTATATTTCCTATTATTTAATAATATTTAAAGGCAAAGAGGAGAAAATATTTTTTTCCTTACCTTCATAAGCTGCCTTAAATCCATGAGCGCTTACTGCAAAGTCACTGGTAAGCCTCAGTGAAAAAATGTTAGCAGAACTGGTAACAGGCGGAGGGATGGTAAATCCTGTTAACCTGGAGAAAAGAGAAACAGAAGTCAATGCTAAATGTATGATTTGATTTACATCACCACATCTATATCCAAATGAAATTGAAAAATATATTTTTGCAGTTGTAGAATTTTTTTTAATGAATTTAATATATATAATGACATTCCAATAACACCTCAGCTGAAAATTATAAAAACTATTACTGTGGTAAAACATTTGCATTTTTTAGCTTCCACAAGCAGAAATACACACATTTGATAGGATTTATCCTCCAGCAATGGATGTAATTGTTCCCTGTTGTGACAACATTTACCTTCATTTGGATTTTACCCCAAATAACAATGATTCCAATAAGATGACGCAGTTAAAAACTTGTGAGGCAGAAACCAACATATATTACCTGGGTCTGTTAAACGTCTGTCATTGCTGTACTTAAATCAGGCTCTCAAACTAAAAGTACCATGACCTCAAACCTCACACTACCATGCTGTAGCATTTTGTGCTTAATAAAAGAGAACTGCTCTGTGAATTCTGATGCAATTTGTCCACCAATAATATAGTGCGTACTATATAATCAAAACCCAAGCGAGAACCCTCTCTATTGTTGGATGGTGTTTGAGGGCTGGCAGCGGCATTGTAACAGACTGCTTCATTACTGCATTTCAAATTAGGTGCAGATCCAAACAAATCCATTTACTTTCACGACGTCGTAAACAAGATGTGTTGCTGACCGTTCCTCAGCGGCAGTTGCTGATGTTCTATCGACCTTGCACTGCTGTAAGCCAGGCAGTGCAGCATGAACTGAACTTGTGCATGAAACTAAATGTCTTCTTTTCTATTGCCATCTCATTTCCTCTTGTTATTTTTCATTGCTAGTTTTGGGGCCGTTTGTGTGACTGAGCCTCTACTTGACAATAAGCCCGGTGAATAATGTCTGTCGTAGGCCAAATGTGGAGAAGCAGAAATCCCCCCAGTGACAGCAAAGAAGAGGGTGCTGTATTTACAGCTTCAATAGAGTTTCCAATTACAGCTCTGTGAACTGTGCTGGTCTCTCGCAGTAAATAATTAGCCTTTATTGCAGGTACAGCACAGCATGCCAAGATGTAGCTAAAAGTCAACAGCTACATGAATGCATGTGATTTTGAATACAGGAAACAACTTAAAACGTGACCTTATTGTAAGATTAATCACATAAAAGAGCTTTGTACTGAATTTGCATGCCATCATGATTAATGAAAAATTAGGCCAAGCTTGTACATCAGAACAAAAAGTCTTTGTATTGTAAATACAATGCTGCTGCTCTACATTAAAAGTACCCTGAGATTACTTCTATTATTATTTGATGCCATATAAATAGACTTGTCTTGTCGGAGAAGTAAACTCAGGGGACAGAGGTAGCACAGTAAGCACACTGAAACCATTTGTGCCACTTTTTTTTTAATCATTTCACTTGTGGCAAGTTTATATATTGTCTTTGCCTCTGGCCCACTGCTGTGACACGTAAAAAAAACAAGCCCTAAATCTCTCTTTCACAATACAAACATGTCTCATTGCCATTCCAACAGGAGAACAGGAGTTGGAAGGGTCCACAGCACCATTTTCATGTGGGAGAGACACATGTTCAATGAATCAGAGTGATGCTGTCCTGGTCCCTCTTTAGAATTCTCACCAAGTCTGGGGAGGGGTGGGTCCATGACGAAGCTAATTACTAGCTGACCAGAGCAGATCAGTCAAGTGGCTAGAGTACATGCTGTCAAAGACATCAATGGCACCCACTGGGTTGAGTGCAATAAAAAAAAATGTATTGAGCCAAATCTTCACTTTTAGCAGCCATGGCTATAGAAATAAGAGTGTACAGAGGAGAGGAAAAAAAAATGTTGCTATGGCAACATGGGACAATCAGACGGGAGACAACAAATGCAGTGATGTGGCAACATTTTAGAAGGATAATATTATGATTAAAGCCAGATGAGGATAGTATTGTCATTTACTAGCCTACAACTTCAGATATTTGAAATAAAATAAAAAAACAGCTAAATCAAAATCCTGTAAGAGAAAAAACAAAACCTCAGAGCCACGTTCCAGGGCTCAGAATAAATCCTTTCTTAGATTGCACGAAAAAGCAAGGAAATAAAGATGTCACAGGGTTAGTGTACATGAGGGGGAGACATCTTTTCTGAGGCTATCAGTGAAAAGGATTAGGAGGTGGCAGTCTAGGCGACAGAGCTGTTCACAGTTCTGCACTCAATGACTTATGTCTGATTAAGAAAGGTTATGTCCCAAGTTGCACTCATCAGGATGATGCAGGATTCATTAAAACCTCAACAATCAACACCTCAAGCCCTCTGAAATAATATGGTACATTTTATGGCTTGTGTGCAGCAGATGAGTCTTTCTCAAGTGACTCTCTGAGACATCTTACTGTTTTTTTTTCATCTTGTTAAAACCAACAAAGTACATTCTGACCAAAGCATGTCTAAAAAAAAAACAGACAAGAGACCCGCATTATCTGTTATTCACTGCTGCTTGTTGCTTTGGCAACAGGAGCATCAGGTGAATGGTTGGAAAATGTCATTAACAAATAAACACCATGGGGGCTGCCAGCTTCTCCGAAACAAGGAAACTGTGACATAGATATCAGATACAAGTCGATAAAGTAAATCGCTCTTCTATTTGATGTTTTATAAAAAATGACAAATTAAATAACGGATTATGCTCTAATCTAGCTTTGGGAGATAGACCAGACTCTCTGGGGTACTTTCATTTTCCTTTTAATGTCAGAAAGTAAAAATACAGCAGTTTAAGGCATCACAGCCAAGATGAAGAATAAAAGTTTGATACAAAGGACAGACACTGTGATTTTAGTTTGTGACTATAATCGTAGAAATCATGTTTTTTACCTCTCAATGACACTTGACTTTTAAAGCAGTATGACAAACACTTGAATTACAGTTTATTCATGCTCACTGCAAAAGTTTTGTTGGTTCACTGAAAAGTATTTCAATGAAGAACAATTACAGACCTGCTTCAAACAGTCCCCTTGACAACCATTGGGACTGTATCGCAAATTCCTTTGTCTTTGTCCGACACGTTTAAGATCAAAAGATGGATATGAGACAAGAATCTTAATCCTCCACCATTTAAATGTAGATGTTGATATCCGACTACCTGATTATAGGTAAGCAAAAGTAAGGAAAGAGAACTTCATTGTATGTGTTGCTGTATAACCCTTGCTTGCAACAACTGGCCTGCAACTCACTGACGTCACTAAACTGTTGCATTCTTCACCTCTGATGCTTTTCCAACCTTTTTCCACAGCCTGATTCAGTTTTTTCCACAGGCTTTCTCCCTTCAGTCTCCAACTCATGCTGAAATTCATGCTCTGCTGGGATAAAGTCCTGTGATTGACTTGGCCAGTCCACCTTTCCCCACAGATGAAGTTCTTTTGTGGTATTGGCGATGTGTTTTGGGTCATTGTCTCGCTGCATGATGAAATCCCTCCAGGTTCATTTTGAAAATTTCTCGTTAAATTTGCAGACAAAATGTTTCTGTCGACTTCGAAGTTCATGTTGCTGCTAGCATCATGAGTCAATAAAGATTAATTATCCCATTCCATAAGCAGCCACGCAAGCCTAAGACACGACATGTCTCTTTCATGCTTCACAAAATGAGCTTGTAGCAGGTCCTCTCCTCTATCACATTAGAAGAGGTGATTCTTGGTCTCATTAGTCCAGAAATCTTTTCCAGAACTTTTTCGGCTAACTTTTTTTGCTTACTCTACTCTTGCCATCTGATTCAAAAGTCTTTGAACAGTGGAGGTTGTTAATGTACATACAACTGCCATTAGCAAGTATACTTCTCCTCACTCTTTAACCATGGATGTTATTCAAGTCACCTGTGGACCAAGTGTAAGTTTGCAATTTGGTCCAATTAAAGCACAAAACAAAAAAAAGACTTTGTTTTGTTTCATTTGTTTTGGTTGCTTGTAATTTGTTTGACCTATAGGAGAACAGGTGAACAGGACAGAGTGATAAGATATCAATCAGATCTTAATAAGGAAGCTAGAGACACATCAATACTCAGTATGAATTTAATCAGGTTAAAATTATATCTACATACAATCTGACAATCAATGAGACACTATTTGTAAAGTAGAGTATTACCTGGAAAACTCACTCATC